TAACTATGGCGATGAGGATCAAAGAGAGATTTGAATTAAAAGAAAAAAAGTACAGTAGAAGTTGTAAACTATTACTAGAGAAAGCAGAGAAAGCTAGTAGAGTATGTTGAAACTACGAGAGAATAAGAATTACAACATTTGTTACCAAAAGATTTGATCTTTTGGTATTTTGGAGTGATTCGTTTATGTAGACAGGTCTTGGAACTGCCATGGGTTGAATTGGATTGACTTGGGGTCGGTGTTATCTTCCGAGTTATCCGCGACTTCCCGATGTTCCGAGTATTTTCCGTTGAATTGGTAAACTTCGAGATCACCCCATGGTGTAGCAGTGACTTCTTCGGTTATATCGAACCATTTTGGGGTAAAACTTTGGCCTTTCTCCTCACGGGTCCTCTTTTCAGCTCTTTGTCTCTCTTCCATGCTATATAGCAAAGATGGAGGGAGAAGAGTTAGAGAAATCCCAATTTATTAGATTTACTTCAATTTCAAATCCTAAAGGACAAGTTTTTGTCATACCTGCTCTTCTCATAGCCGGATTTGGACATGTCGCCCATCTCGAGTGCGTATCTATCAGGGCGTAACCGTGAATCCGACGGTAACAACTTTTTTGGAGCAGTGTCGAAGCTATTGATCTTGTGAGCAAAGTGTGTGTACTGGAATTTGTCATCTTTTGGAGCATCAGCGAGTCTCCAGACCTATGAATAAAAGACAGCATTGGAATGTCTGATCAAACTGAGGTTTTGGCAAAGAGAATTGAGCCAATGGCATAGAGACATTTGACAAACCTCCTTAAGTTCGGTGCCCGGGAGAGGTTCCCCTTCACCATCACACTGCTGATAACTCATGGACTCGTTCCACTTACCGGTCATGAGTATCTTAGGCTCCTCAGAGGCGTTATAGACGTATCCATCCACTTCATATCGACCAGATCTGTTGAGACAAGGAATGTACATTTCTTCAGCTTCAAATGGAAAAAAAAAAAAAAAACAGGAAGATGAGGTTGCAGTGATGGGAACTTACCCGAACCAGCCACATGGTTGAAAGTAAAGCACAACTTTGTCACCAGTGGTCAGGTTTGTCATGATCATTTCCCCAGGCGAATCAACCCAAGTTCGTCCAAAGATTAGATTGTGAACTTTGGTCAGAGGAGGTACCAAGTCAAGAACCACACCATCTCTTTTAAGTGTCACCCGTGTCCTGCACCACAAATCCGTTTAAGGATCAAAATATTGTACAAATGAAGAGTCTGAATTCAGTTTACCAAGTTTGCAGCCTGTGCTGTGTTTGGGAGAATTACCTTCCTACTGGATACACATCAATGGAGTTACCCAGAAATTTTGTTTTCAGTTTTGAAGTACAATCATATGTGAAATGCTCATTTTCAGCGTGACCAGCACTCATTGGCGGGTGATGGCTGACCTGAGAACAAAACCATCGGTATCAAAAATCTGGGGGAAGTTGGCATCTAAAGAACTAAATCAATGTTGACAATTATTTGAGTTCCAAAACAAATGGCTCTGACCTGTTCAGAGATAAAGTTAACACCATTGTGATTAGCCATCTCATAGGTCTCGCCGAGAATTGGATTGAATGGTTTCCAGGTACGTTGGAAAGCATAATACACAGATATAGCCCACGATGCTGTTAAAGATCAATTCTTACAACTCAGCCACACATGACAGAAACCACATGAACAAATACTAATCATAGCAGAAAGAGGAAGAGATGGGCTTACACGCATACACCATGCGCAAATAAGGGTCCTCGGTTTTGTCTGCCATGTCTAGCAGATGCGAGTACTCCATCAACTATCAGAAACAGAGCATATATCATCGGCATCATCGGGTTACAAAAACTATCAGAAAAGGAACAAAACATCAGTGTCATTAGTACAAACCTCTGCCATTTTCTGGAGCATTGTCATTGGTTCAAAAATAATCACAGGAAGTGTCACCATTGATGTAACATCAGATCCTATGTACTTCTGCATCATCTTCCAATAACCATCGCGATCCTGAGAGTTTGCGTAAAACATGTTTCTCAGATTATTAGATCAACAGTTAATGAAAACAAAAATGGTAAAGCAGAAGTATATATACCTCTTGCTTCCATCTTCCTCTGCTTGCTTCCTCCGCTGCATCATCTGTACTTCCTTCAGGATTAATAACTTCAAGTCCTTCATAGCCAACCAAACTGTGAACCAAATTCATAACACAACAAATCGTTTAATTTATTACAAAGAGCTAAACTTTAAGCAAAATCCATTAAAGAAGGGGATCAAAACTCTCCATATGTGAATTAAGCTCTAGTCTAACATCAATTCCAAAGAAGCAGGATTTGCAGAAACAAAAATCTACATTAGAAAAAGATCTGAACATAGGAGATACCAAATCCCAACAAAGTTGATCAAAAGGATTCGAGAAGAAAAACTTCAAAAAGCCAATAGTTTCCAGGATTCAAATCAAATTTGATATAACATACGGATCTAGCTGAGAGGCAGATCCGGGTTTAACAAAAGGGATCTCAAAAACCTTACCCGTTAACTGATTTTGTCATTGCCGATCCCAAATTGGAGATCGAGGAAGCAAGAGAAGCGAAGAAACCACTGCCACCGCCACCATTTTTAGGATCATTAGAAGCCATTCCCTCCGCCGCGGATCCGCCCACTAGCACCACACTTCGAGCTCCGGCGAAGAACAAATCGAGAGAGAGACGTTCGTGGAAATCTAATCGGGTTTTGTTTATGAAGGAAGAAAAAAAAGGCAAAGAGATTCGTCAATAATGGAAGACCAGCGATGGAGACGATGCAGAGGATTGAGGATTCATGTGCTGGACCTGCTGGTCTTCGTTGGCACTTGTTCAATTTTAAACATAAACCAAACCCGGATAATATATAAACCGAACCGGTTCGGTTTATAGCTATTCCATTGGTTATCGCCTTATCATTATCGGTTCAGCATAATCGAAGCATATGTGTTGTGGAAATTACAAAATTTCTCATAACCGGAACGTGGTTAAGAGGTATTCGGCATTAATGGCGTCACCAAGTGTAGGCTCCTTTAAATTGAAATCGCTCGACGTTACTCTTATATACAAAATGGCTGGTTGAGTCAAATTCGTATACAAGAATTAATTTGGTGTTAATTATACATTTTTTTTATCATTATCATGAGCAGATTTTTTATAAATTAGAAGGGACCAAGCTTATAGTATAGATAGTTTGACTTGTATTAATTTTTTTCTTTGTCAATGAACATTTTATTTCCAGTTATAAATACAATTTAGATCAGTGGTGCGATTCAAATATGCCTTTCGGAATAAGGAAAAACGAAACTCTTGAACAAGGAATGTATAGTGGTCTTTGTTTATATTGTTTTGTTCAGTATATATATATGCTGATCAGGATTCGAATGAGGACTAGTATCAATTTGAGTTATGGACATAATCGAAAAGAGATTAAAAAAACTTGTAAACTCAAAAATTCAACTTATAGTAAAATATGTAGCTACGAAAAGCGGACATATTTCTCATAATACGGGGTGAATTGTGTATCATTTTTTTCCTTTTTGCTTTTATCATTTTTAGGGTTTAATACGTTACATGAATTAACAACGATTCTCAGTGCACAAATCGAATGATCTCTAACATTGTTGACTAGAACAATGTTATTTAATGAAGTTAAAGTTAAATCATTTTCCACTAACAATCATAAAGCAAACACCAAATCTA